GTCCTTAACTTGCCCTGTGTGGTGGTCCTAGACATTCCGGAGCTTTTGAATGTGTGATGCAACAGGTTTTTAGTAATGTCAGCACCACTGCTCTTCAGTGTTCTGGACTTGTGAGCAGGACAGGAGTCCTCTTCTGCCTCGCTTAGGTGAATATTGGGTATTTTCCCCTTTATTCAAGTATTGCCTTTCTAAAAAAAAGTTATTCCTACTTCTTTCAATTAATGGTTATTGTAGAAAAAGAAAGAAAGAAGGCAACTGTTGTATTATCTTCACCTTAGACATTCTTAAAAGAAGTTTTGGCTTTTTACTATTCTAGATTTATTCTAGATTTCAGTGTTTGCACTAGCATCTGGCTGTGTATTTAGGGCTGAGGGAGAATATGAATGATTTCTTCTCCTTTCAGACTTGGAAGCAGTTGATAGTTAAGTGGGAACAAGCTAGTCATCTGACGCTTGTATTTGATTGCTGGATGGGAGGTTTGATTTTTGAGGTGTAAATACCTTTTACAGTGTAGGCTTAAACACAAGAATTTAGAGCAACAGTTCTCTCCCCAGAGATTTTTTTTTTAAGTTTATTTATTTTTGAGAGAGAGAGAGAGAGAGCACACAAGTGAGGGAGGGGCAGAGAGAGAGGGAGACACAGAAGCAGGCTCCAGGCTCTGAGCTGTCAGCGTAGGGCCTGACGCAGGGCTCAAACCCACAAACTATGAGATCATGACCGGAGCTGAAGTCAGATGCTTAACTGACTGAGCCACCCAGGCACCCCCTTCCCCAGAGATTTCAATGTAGTGGGTCTGGGGTGCTACCCTGGTAATGGTTTTGTTGATTTTGGTGGGGTGAGGGGTGGGGGGACAATCTTGAACTTAGAGAAAAGTTGCAAGTATGTTAAAAACAACAACACTTTTCCTGAATCATTTAGGAAAAATTACTATCCCATTGTCCCACCACCTGCATCCCTTTCCCCTATACTTTAGTGTATTTTTTAAAAAAACCAAGAACATTCCCCTGTATATAACCACAAAAACAACCAACAAAACAAAACACTGATACATTACTACCATTTAATCTGTAGCCCCTACTCAGGATTTGATACCCCAGTAATGGCCTTTATAGCAAAAGGATCACACTTTGCATTTGGTTATTATGTCTTGTTGGTCTCCTTCCGTTTCCTTGATTCAGTGATCTTGAAACTTTTGAAGATTGCAGAACATTTGGCAAAATGCCTCTCAACTTGAGGTTCTCTGACATTTCATCATGATGATATTCAGATTGTACATATTTGAAAAGAATATCATAGAAGAAATTCTGTGTTCTCAGAGTATCTAATCACGTAACTCATGATTTCAATTTATTCCATTATGATGATGTTCATGTATTTTACTTGATTAAGGTGATGTCTGCCAGGCTTCTCCTCTGTGTAATTATTCTTTTCTCCTTTTTGATTAATAAGTATTTTTACGGGGAGACACTTTCAAACTATGTGAATATTCCATTCCTTTCACCTTTAACTTATATACTTATTTCTATCTGGATGAACTCATGTTTTCCTGTTGTATACAATGACTTAAGATTTCTTACCATCATTATTTTTATGCTCATATTGCCCCAGGTTTAGCTTGTAGGAACCCCTTCACATTGGTATCTGCAAGCATTTGACATGCCACATCATTTGTTGAACATTTCCTTGCTTCTGGGCAACAAGCATTCCTCTTTCATTTTGTACTTTCTTTCTTCTAGCCCCAAATTAGCTTTTTTTAAAAAAAGAACTCTAGTTCTTTTAGTTAAGAATGGTATTTAGAAGCCAGAGTCTGGGTACTAGTTGTGTTCATTGCTATTTGGGTTGCTTGTTCCCAAGCCCTCTCAGTAATAGAGCTAAGGAGAGAGAGAGAGAGAGAGAGAGAGAGAGAGAGAGAGAGAGAGAGAGCGCGCGCGCGCACGCACGTGTGCTTGCATACATGAAGGAATATACACACATGTGGGCTCACAAAATTATATCCATGTTTATTGTTATGTCTGTCTCTATATATTAAAAACCATGAGTTGATGCCAATAGCTAATTCTGATCCAGGCCCACAGGACTCTTTTGAGATTTTTCCCTTTCCATTTTGGTAACTACCTTTTTCAACCGTGATAAACCTGATTGTCATTATCATTAATGTATTTATTTATTGATCAGTCCCTCTGTATGTAACCATTACCTTCCCCACGTGGGTACCTGCTTCACCTTCTTGGGCTCTGGTTCAGCATGGGGATATTTTAAAGCTCCCCAAAGATGCTAATGTGCAGCCAAGATAGAGCACAACTGATTTAGAAGAAAGATGAACTTGGGGTGTCTAGATGGTTCAGTCAGTTGAGTGTCCCACTTCGGCTCAGGTCATGATCTCGCGGTTCGTGAGTTCAAGCCCCACGTCAAGCCCTGTGCTGACATCTCAGAGCCTGGAGCTTGCTTTAGATTCTGTGTCTCTTTCTCTCTCTGCCCCTCCCCTCCCATGCTCTGTCTCTCTCTCTCTCAAAAATAAACAAACATTTAAAAGGAAGAAGAAAGGTGAACTCTGTACTTTTTGATTCATTATTAAACGAATGGCAGGTTTGTAAGTCAGGTCTGGTTTGGGAAAATAAATTGTTCCTAAGGAAGTGAAATCTAAAGAGAAAACTCAATTCTACCAATATAAGCAGTAAAAGATCAGGGTGAAAGCACAGCCTGTCTCCTGGAAAGCTTTGAAAAATATTTGTTTTGGAAGTAAATCTGCTTGTAGTGAACATGAATTTCAGTTCCTTTCTCTGAATTACCTGTTTATAGGAAAAAATACTTGAAAAGGTTAGTTGTTTTTAAGAATGTGTTTCATTAAAGACTTACTTTTTTTTTTTACATTGCATTTTTAAAATAAACTTTGTAGAATAGACCTAGAAATTGCACTTCACTGCTTTTTAGAGCATCGAATATTTAACCAGATTTTTAGACTGTGGTTGCTCTTTTTCTGTAGTCTGTTGCACTGTAAAATATAGGCACCAAGTCACAGTAACTGGGTCATGAGGAACGCCATCTTCTTCCACTTGGAGCCAGAGGAAGCAAGAGGCTCTGGGAGCCAAATACAACAGGATCTGTGGCCAGCCTACCTTAGATGGTCAACATCCATCTTGCCAATTTTCATAAAGCCGTGTTCTTAAAGTAGTGCAGTGCTGTAAGTGGATTTTCACCAAGAGCTTTACCCTGAGACTGATGTGCACACATTCTGACTCCAGAGAAATCCAGTATTCAACCTAAGGGAATTAAAATAAAATCTCTTCCTTGTTTGTGTTTTTATTTTTATTTTTTTAAATATTTATTTATTTTTGAGAGAGCGTGAGCAGGGGAGGGGCAGAGAGAGAGGGAAACAGAGGATCTGAAGCAGGCTCTGCAGCAGCAAGCCCCATGCAGGGCTTGAACTCACGAACCATGAGATCATGACCTGAGCTGAAGTCGGATGCTTAACCGATGGAGCCACCCAGGCGCCCCCTTGGTTATATTTTTTAAAGTTTTCATTGAAGTTACCTTCGGAGTGTGAATTGTGCACATTAGGATTTTGTATATTTATGCCAGAGGCACAGAAGGAGAAAGGCCAATGTTTGTCAATGTGAACAGAACCACAGAAAGCTCGATACATGGGTAAAACACCTATTTTGTTGTCGTTGTTGTTTAGTTCTTGTTTTCTATAAATAAGCATTACTTATCTGTTGACGAGAGCCAACTTCATTGTTGGTCCTCAGTTCCTTTGTACAGGCTGAGTGGTTACATTCCCCAAAAGTGATTCCTTCCAGAACTGTCCCTGTGATTTTTGCCACGTCTGCAAACGATGAGTTTGATGTGTTGGGTCACCTAAAATCACAAGTATCTGTTCAGTATTTGGGGGCACCGGGAACTAGAGCTCTGAGTCTCCTTCCAGCTCTGAAATTCAGGACGCGTGGCATCAGGATTTCCTGCCTTGAGCTCTGAAGTAACAGCAGTAGTTTTGCAATGCATTCTTCCTATTTGATACATAGAGAGTGAAAGTTGGCAGCTTACCATATGCATTATATTCAAATATATATTAGAATGTTCCATAAGAGAATAAGTATTACTTTCTGAATGTACTTTTCAGATGTGAGGCATTACATTATATTAATTTCTTAACATTCCAGTACATTTCTTTAACTAGAATCTTTAGTATTACATGTGACTTTTGTTCTAATTGAGGGCAGCAAAACCTGGTTGTCTCAATTCAGGTGTTCAGCAAGATGCAACTGTGAAGTCACTTGGTGAGGAATACATGGATTTATAGGACACATGGTACCTGCCTTAAAAACACAAGTAGAGAACATGTAAAACATACAATATTAATAATATAGAAGAAAAATACAGAATATAGAACATAGAATTTTATAGTCACCGACCTGATGATGTCAGGGGAGAATACCTAAATTGTGATAGATATTTGTGTACCATAAGTGAATTTATATATTCTGTATTATTTGTGAAGAATTTTTGCCTTTCATAATATGTATTCCTTTTTCTTTGACATTATTAATGCTGTATTTTATGTGTTTTCTACTTGTACTTTTAAGACCAAGTACTAAGAGTTCTATAAATCTATGGAATCCAGGAATATCTCCAGAACCAACTGGATGTTACCACATTCAAATCCGGGTTTTTGCTGAGTGGAAATACGTGTGTGTGTGTGTGTGTGTGTGTGTGTGTGTGTGTGTGTGTGTGTGTTCTTTTAGGAGGATATTGTAAAGCTCGCTTTAGTGGGCTTCTTTGAAACCAAACTTGAAGCCCTACTTTGCAGAAAAGATAACAAACCAAAATATGGGGATAACTGAATGTGGTGAGTTTTATGCATCCTCTTAGTTTAAGTAAAATACCGTGTTCTGCTCAGTCACAGAGATGGCATGTTTTGCATACCGTCTACAAGCATTGAATTTGCTACACAAATAGACTGTGAATATAAATGTTAACCTTCTGGTGTGACATTACTTTAACAGAGAGAAGGAGCAAGAAAGGGAAGAACAGTTAATGGAAGACAAGAAAAGGAAGAAAGAGGATAAAAAGAAAAAAGAAGCCACTCAGAAGGTGAGTTTAATGACTTAAGTCTGTCTTTACATCCACCAAGCATCTAGAATAAGTAACTGCCTTGGGTGGGATACCTGACATCTTAATAATGCTGCTTACTTTGTTCACTTGGAAGTTTTACGATTAGAAAGTGGGAGTTAAAGACGTACATTTGTCACCACAGAATACTCAATAATGCTGCAGCTGATTTAATGAGAACACCAGTATACAGTATGAAGAAAGGCAAGTGAGTCCCTGCCACTTAATTTCTTGTCGAATGTCCTTACTCGTATCACAGTTAATCTCCATTTTCTTAGGTCAGCTTATAAACTAGCTTTTCAAGTGTCTCTGTAGTTCACCCCAGTGTTCTCCTTTTGGTTCCTTTCCAGCATGGTCATCTGTACAAGACCACCTTCTGATAATTCCATAAAGAAACCTTCCTCACAGGCCAGTGGGCCTGCTTCAAGCTTTGGGGGAGATGGTATTGTGTGGCTTTGAGGAGCTTGCTTAGGGAAGGAGAGAGGCTAAAAGGAAAAGACCTACATCTCACTGCTGCCAACTGACAGGTCTTAGTTGACATGCTTGACCCAGGGTGCTGTCCTTTGCTTCAGTGTCTGTCCTGCAGGCCCCGCCCTTGTCTAATCTTATTTCCCCCACCTCCCCATTCTTTAGCATTGCCTGATTGGGCTCTGGCTCGGCAGGCCTGCTTTTGTGCCTTTTTTTTTTTTTTTTTTAACGTTTATTTATTATTGAAAGAGAGAGACAGAGACAGAGCATGAGCAGGGCAGGGGCAGAGAGAGGAGGAGACACAGAATCCGAAGCAGGCTTCAGGCTCTGAGCTGTCAGCACAGAGCCTGATGCAGGGCTCGAACTCACGGACCACAAGATCATGACCTGTGTTGAAGTCGGACACTCAACCGACTGAGCCACCCAGGCGACTTTTGTGCCATTTTTGGAGGTAAAGTGATTTGCCTCCAGTTCTTGTTACCACTACACAGAGCACTTGGGAAGCAGGACATTGCTGTGGGGCAGGTTCGAGGGTCCCTGCTACAGTGGCAGGTTATTGAAGCTCAGTTTAGGGAGGTAGAAACTGTTACAGGGTTCAGAGGGAACTCTAGATTTAGAACAGACTCAAGGCAGACAGTTGGACACAAACCGATGTAGGCTTTAAGGGACACCAGAAGTTTTCCCAGCATTCTGGGCTATAGCGTATATTCCCATAATTCAGTTTTCTGAACTTTTGAACTAGATCATTTATAAGTCCCAGCCTAAATAAATCATACTGGAAATATTTTCTGAATTGAATTGCATGTGACCCTGCCACATTAAACATACAGAGTGTAATTTTATCTTTTCTTCATGACTTAATTATAGGTAATACTCGTTATTGTTTGGTGTTATAATAGACTGCTGTGTGCACTCTTTAAAGTCTTGTCTTTAATTGTGCTTCTGTTTCTATTCATAGTGGTGTGCTCACCTTCTCACCCTCATGCTCTCAGGGTACCTACTTCTAATGTGTTGCTTCTAATCTGAGCTTGTTAGAATTGTCTACAAAGTCAGTAAAGAGTCTGAATAAAGACGCCAGAGGACAGCCCAGAGGCCTTTTTCAAACTTACTTCCCTTTAAGGACACAGCCCCATTTCACATTTTGAGGTTGCGATAAGCAGGTCCACCAGCTATATAGGGTGTTACCAGAATGGTAGAGAGTGAACCTCAGCAAAGGCTTTCTTTCCTCTAGGGCATTTACATTTCGTCAACTAAGTTAGTATAAGAATTGGGTTTTACAGTCTGTATGGATGTATGATTCATAGGCTGGACCTTGGTAAACTTGAGCAAAGGATGGTAACAAGAAGATACCAAATGGATTATTTCAGGCACTAGACAGTCTACATTCTTCACTTAGGTAACAGTGTTTCTCAACTGGAAAATATCAGTATCTGGGAGTGATTTATAATATATGCATCTGTAAACTTTTGCTGTGGATCCCACTAGTAGAAAAATGATTTGAAATACAAGATGGTGTGGGTTTACGCAAGAGCAAATTGGGATTGGGGGCACCTGGGTGGCTCAGTCGGTTAAGCGTCTGGCTATTGGTTTCAGCTCAGGTCATGATCTCACGGTTTGTGAGTTCAAGTCCTGATCAGCACAGAGTCTGCTTGGGATTCTCTCTCCCTCTGCCCCTCTCCACTCTGTCTCTGTCTCTTTCTCTCTCTCAAAAATAAATAAACATTAAAAAGTAAAAAATAAAAATGTAATGTTTATTTATTTTTAGGAGAGGGAGAGAGTAGGGGAGGGGCAGAGGGAGAGGGTAACAGGATCTGTAGTGGTCTCTGCACTCACAACACAGAGCCCGACGCAGGGCTCTAACTCACAGACCACTAGATCGTGACGTGAGCTGAAGTCAGATGTTTAACCAACTGAACCACCCAAGTGCCCCTAAAAATATACAGCTGGACAATCTCCCTCTGTACTTACATCTGCATTAAGAACTGGTTCAGAAGTTGTGGCAAAGAGGAAAATCACCATAACTAAAATTTCAATTGGTTAGTTGTGAACAATGAAAACCCAATCATTTTTGTTCAGAAACGTTCTAGATTGGCTGTCACAAGATCCAGGCCAACATGTGGCCTTGGATATTGTTTTATCAGACTGAACCATCGTGTAATTTCAGAGTTAAGTTCTGATTTAGCAGTTTTAAGGAAGAGTACAAAGCTTACCATGTGATTGTCTTCGTGGTTTCCAACCTTATTGTAGAGACAGCGCCTCAACTAGGAGGCATAAAATGTGCTATGATGCAAAGAATTGTAGAGAATGTGCCAGAGGTTCTATTACACGGTCATTCATTTATTCAATCAGCACCATCTGTGGTGCTTCCACATCCTTCTCGCTGCTTACCCTCGTGCTTTATAATCTCTTCCTGTCTGCTTCCCTGTTTGACTGACTGACTCTAAGTGTCACAAGGTTTTATTCCCTATTTGTATTTCCAGGAAGTAGGGCAGTCAGTGCCTGGTACATGAGAGTGACTCAAAAAAATATTTGTTTAATAAATCAATGGTCAAGAATGAGTGCTGGCAATGTAATTGTCTTGAAGAATTGACTTTTATTTTAAGTTAAATTATTTCCACACAGACATTAAACTTGAGCTTTTCTCATGAGCAGTTTGCTCTTTCTAGAGCCATCACTGAGTAAACTGTGTTCGATTTTCATTCATGAGAAAGGTGTCAAGGAAGGATTCCATTCACATTCATTAAGCTGACGCTGCAAAAGAATCATTGTTTAGTGTTGGCAGAACACATGCTTTGATCATCCAGCCTTTCACCGTCTGGAGGACAGCTCTTTTAACAGAAACCACATTGTAAGACACATTTGACATTATTTAGGTTTGTCACTTACAGCTGGGGAAAGCATTGACTTCCTGTATAACTTGATCTTCAAAATGGCATTCTAAGAAATATTTATAATGTTATAAAATTTAAACTGCATTAAGGAATTGGTATGTGGAGACAAATCAGTTCATTCTTGGTTAAATGGAGTTTTAGAAGAATTGCACAGTAGACTTGAGCTCTGTAATAATTAGTACAAGGAAACACATTTTAAGGTGCTGTCTACTACAAATTCACTACAGTAGAATTAGCTTGGCTTTTAGTGCAAGAATGTAAGGAATGCTCCAGGAGGTCATACAACCAGATCATTTAACTCAGTCTGGCAATGGTGTGATGCAATCCACTATGAAGTGGGCTGGTTAGCTACAGGACGTACCCTCCAAAGATGGACAAGTTTTCATGAGCACCCAGAGGAGTAACTTGGCATGCCTACCAACCACAAATAATCAAACATCTTCTTTTCTATTACAAAGTCAGAGAACCATTGAAAGATTAACATTTGGGAAAAGGGAGTCAAAATCATGCATGATCTCAATCACGATGATGGTGATGGTGGTGGTGGTAATTATAAGCCCTATTAGAATTCTGGCGCATTTCCTTTTGGATGTTTTTCTTACGCATGACCTTTTGTGGATTTGTTTTAATATTATAGGGCATGTATAATTAGGTGCCCTCCTTTATTTTCCTCTCTTACTAGCAGAAGCAGTTTTCCGTGTGGCTCCTAATCATCATTTCCAAACTCTCTAAAAACCCATTTTTCTATTCAGCCTATCTAATCTTTTAGGTCAATCACTTCCATAGAAGTGTTAGTTACTATGTAAAGAAATACTTTCAACAAAGCAATCTTTATTTGTCCAAAATTTACATATTTCATCCATTGCTGTATATCATACTTTTTCCATGAACTTTGATTAAAAATAACAAACATTTATGAGCATTGGCATAGGATATCCAGTTTAATCCTTATAATAACCCTTTGTATGGAGATACTATTATTATCTCCATTCAACAGATAAATAGAAAACAGATCACACAGCCAGGAAGTGGCATGGCTTGGTTTTAAATCCTGCCTTCCTGCCATGGCCTCTGGTACGTCTGATGATGGGCCCTTGAACTTTTGCTTTCTAGATTTGAGATCAAGTGTTTGAGTCCATACTCCTAGGGTAACCTTTTTGTCTCTGTGGCTAATTTCGTTTCTAGGCTACATCCATTTGCTTTCTAGTCAGATCATCAAAATGACAAACAGCATTCCTGGTACAAATACTTCAGCATTTAATGAGAGTGGAATGCTTCTGGTTTTAATTTTTAGTGTCCTTCATAATTATGGTCATATAAGTTATAACTGGACATATGGCCGTTGTCTTTATAAAAGGATGCCCGAACTGACTCTCGGTGTATTTTTTTGTTTGTCTTTTTTTTTCTGGATTTGAACTATGCCTGTGTGTCTGACAGCTTGAATTACTTGAGTTATCAGAATTAAAGTAGTCTTATAATATCAAACTAGAAAATAAATCTCATTCACTTATGTCTGTTCGTTTATTTTTCAGGTCACGGAACAAAAAACCAAAGGTAAGATTGTTGTTTTTTTTTTCCTTTTGAAGTTGTTGGAACCTTCTGTGTTTAGATTTTACATTCTTGCCAACTCAGCCTCCAATCCACTCAATTAGTGAGAGTGGGTGCAGAGTAATTAAATTGGTTGTTTGCGGCCACTGAAGAGCAGTAATGATAAATTGAAAGTACTTGTAGTAGTGTTTCTGGTTGGCCTTAATTTTTTTAGGAGGCAAAAAAGATTAATACCTTGTTTGGAAAGTATATGGGTCATGATTTTGAACTGAACCTTTTCAAGCAAGACACTAGCCCTAATTTACAGATGCACATTGCAGAGGATTTTTAATCATCTTGATCCATGACATGCATTGAGCCTAAAAGGGAGTGTTGTGTCTAGGATAGTCACATGGTCTTCTGAGCTAGAGCCTGGAATATGCTTTTTTTTTAAATAATGCATTTTAACTCTGTTGCAAAATAGTGATTGATGTATTATAAACAGAAGCAGATAGATGTTCCTCACGTCATCCTCAACCTAATGGTCTCTGTGTTTTCAGATCTCTCTTTCTAATGTTAATTTTGATTATGCAGTCTTGTCTGGTGCTGGCCACGCTTTTGGTCGGTTCCCTTTCAGGATGGTAGAATTGAGACCAATGTTTTAGCTCCTGTCCTTGCCCACTTAAATGTGTGGTTCTCAACTAGGGTACTTATTAAAATCTTTTGCATAGACTCGTCAAAGTACACAAGCATGGACCTCCTCCCAGATCTTCATGGTCTCAGGCCACAGCCCTGGCAGATGTATTTTGAGAAGCTCTACAGGTGCCCCCAGGACATGTCCCAGGTTGAAAACCACTACCCCAGATGAAGGGAATCACATAGGACTGTGATAACTCAGAGGAAGGTCAGGATGATGGATCAGCCAAGATGTGATGGGAGGCCTCCTAATGATGGGTGTCTTCATTGTTTTATTTTCTATTATTGGACCACCAGGCCAAAGTGTCACACAGTGATGGAGAACTAATAAAGACCGTGCTAGTTTGTAAGGAAACTTAGTTCTGGGAAACAAATTCTCAGATGTCTAGACATTACTGTAATGTATTTCTAACCAAAAGGCACTTTCAGGGAGAATGTAGTCTAGGACCTTGTAGTGATTTAGAAAATAAACCGATAAACATTATTAGTTACGATTATCTTAATTACTTAGAACAGTGTTCTTCCCTTGTATTTTCAGGCAGTACCAACCCAGAAGTGGGCTTTATTTGGAAGTATGTTTATAAATTACTTGTTTGAAATCCAAGTTATACTTTACCATAAAAATAGAGTTCTTGATAGTGGTATAGTGTCCATATTTTCTAAACCAGCATACTGTCTAGGAAAGGATTTGGGCACATAGTATTTATATTAATAGGCCTTTTTGATGATTTATGGGGACAACAGATGAGAAAATTAGCATTTTCCTGGAAATTCCAGGCTCTGTGGTTGTTGGAACATGGTGGTTTGGTTCCTGGGCCTGGCCACAACTCTTAATGTTCATGAAGCCACGTCCCAGCTAAGCTGTGGAAGCAAGTTGCCCTGTATGGTACGTGGTGTTTCTGTTGGAAAATCGAAAATCCATTAAGGCATTCTTTCTCAGATTTTTTTTTCTCTAAGTCTATTCTCAGAAACACATTCCTCTTCCGGAACTCTACCGAAATCTTAAAAAATCAAACTTTCTTTTCTACTTACTACTGAATTTTCTTTCCAGTTAGGATCTTTCTCATACCTACCATAAAATCGAATACAGCCTCACAGTTTCCATACTCTTCCCACCCCACCCACACCCACACCCCCATGAAAAAATTAAAGTAAAATAATCCTAAAGAAAGATGAGCACCTGTTTCAGGTCTCCTAAGGAATGTAGTTAGTAGAACCACGGAGAAAACAGAGTAAAAATAAAAATGATCTCTGGAGTATATTAGACCGTAAGTAGAAGGAGAGGGAAAATGCAGATTTTGGAGAGACTAGGACAGGATTTCAAGTGGAGGTTATATGAAGACACGGCCTAGCACTGGGCTTGACCTTTCTGATTTTTTACCCCACTTCAACCACATCTTTATGTTTGTTCCAAGAGCCTGTCTGCACTCTAAATCCCCTTCTTCACTTCCCTCAGCTGATGTTTCTGGGTCCTTTTCCTCTTCCCAAAGATGACGCCTTCCTCAGGCAGTCTTCCCGTAACTCTGCATCTGTCCCTCTTTCCCCAGTAGACCCTGTAAGAAAAACGGCTGTGTTGGTGCCAAGTCTCTGTTTGTACAGAGGACTGAGATCAGATTTGTCCGTATTTCAGAGAAAAAGTAGATTCCTTATACGTTCTGTCTTTACCTTCCAGTATTTAAAAAAACAAAACAAAAACACAGAATTCTGGAGAATAGGGCGGGATTTCAAGTGGAGGTTCTGTGAAGACATGTGGACCTACTGGCCTGCAAACAGTACACAGCACTTAAGGTAGAGGCTTTGTTGGATGTTGGAGTTCGAATTGCAAGAGTCAAGGCGCCTGGGTGGCTCAGTCAGTTAAGCGTCTGACTCTTGATTTTGGCTCAGGTCATGATCTCACCGTTCATGAGATCGAGCCCCGCCTTGGGCTCTGCACTGACAGCACAGAGCCTGCTTGGGATTCTCTCTCTCTCTGCTCCTCCCCCACTTGTTTGTGCGCATGCACACATTCCCTGCCTCAAAATAAGTAAACATTTAAAAAATAATTTAAAAAATTAAAAAGTTAAAAAAGGATCTCAAGAGGCTGTGTTGTTGATGTAACAGACCAGGTATAACAGGGACGAAGGTAAGATTAGGGTAGGCTGTACACTGGAGGGGTCTGGACATAGCAATTTTGCCTCATGAAAAAGCTGTTAGGGTCATGGTTGGCTTAATGGTGCAGTTATCAGTATGAAATGACTGATTTATAAAAATTAAGCTGACCTTAAGTGGCATTAGTAGGAGTACAGCATCTAGGAAGGGATCTGCAGTTCTCTAACGGGCACCACACCGTGGAAAGAAAGAGATCGACTTCTGTGGAGCCTGTGCGGTTTGGGCCACATTGGTCAATGAATTTGAACCTGTGTCATATTTGCAAGGGTTAAACATGTAGGAATGTCTACCCCCAGGGGAAGTGTTCCTACCTGAGGAAGCTCAGGGAGTGGTCTTCAAAGCTTTGAAGGGCTCTGGTGCCCGATGCTTAGCAGTCTCTTGGTAAATGTCTGTCGGATGTTTTGTTCAGTGACACTTATTCTGCTACCAAAAGTACTGATGGTGAGAGTCAAAGCAACAGGGAAAAGCCTCCAGCCCGATATAAGTTGAGATTTTTAGGTATTATCATCCGCAGCAGCAATTCCGTGACCTTTACCCCACAGGGGCACAGCTGAGGGGCAGCACCTTCCCATCGGCATACTTGGTACATTGGCCACGACTCTGTCTTCTGAGTCTACCCCAGAAGGCATATTTAGGAGTGGCTGGTGGTGGTTGGGATAACCTTGAGTCTACTCTAATTTATTAAGATCCGAGGTGGGTTTTTCCTTCCAAGTAAATAATTTACAAACGAAAGTACTCGCAGTATCCCTCACACCTTGCAGAAACACCTCTGTATTCTTTAACACTAAGGTGGGCGCCATTTGTTCAGAGATGCTTCTGGCTGCCACTTGAAAGTGAATGAATGTGAGGTATAAGGCGTGTGGTTCAGATAGATGGCCACAGAATAGTCCAGATGAGAGGTAATGAGGGCTTGAACCTGGTTAGGAGTGGTGGTGATAGGAGGAAGGAAGGCATTGGAGAGATGTTTTGGTTCAGTGCAGTGTAATGATGATCAGATAATGACGACTTTTAGGTTTCTGACTCGAGGAGCTGGTTGGGTGATGACTCTGTTTCTTGAACTAGGAGATAATGGGGAGAGCTGGGGAACAAGTTTGAGAGTAAGGAGAAAAAGGGTGAAAGAGCGATCTGAGTTGGAGGTAGTGATTTGGGAAACACTTGGGCATACATGATAAAGTCTGAGCGTGGGGGAATTTGTACTCAAGTAACTTAAATGTGGGAAGAGTGTAGGCCCCACCTTCATGTTCAGATTTCTTAAAAAGACACAACTAGGGGCGCCTGGGTGGCACAGTCGGTTGAGCGTCCAACTTTCGCTCGGGTCATGATCTTACAGTTTGGGTGTTCGAGCCCCGTGTCAGGCGCTCTGCTGACAGCCTGGAGCCTGCTTCAGATTCTGTGTCTCCCTTTCTCTGCCCTTCCCCTGCTTGCACTCTGTTTCTCTCTCTCAAAAATAAATAAACCTTAAAAAAAATAAAAGATACAACTCATAACCAAATTCAGGTGCCATCTTACAACTCTGATTAGGAGGTGGCCAGCTACCACCCTCCAAACAGATCTGACTCTCCTCCTGTTTTTGTATTGCCCATAAGCTAGGAATTTTTTTTACGTTTTTTCAGTGGTTAGGAAAATTATGAAAGAATGATATTTTGTGACAGTGAGAGTGGTATGAAATTTATACTTTAGTGTGATTAGTACAGTTGTATGGAGCACAGCCACACTGTCGTTTGCGCATGGTCTGTGGCTGCTTTTGCCTATACTCACAGTAGAGTCGTCACAACCAAGACTGTATGGCCAGCAAAACCTAAAATATTTACTGTCTGGCCCGTTACAGAAAAAGTCTTCTGAGCCCTGACCAAGAGTGTAAGAACCCACAAAGGAAGAGAGAAAGGAGGAGCTGAAGAGCTGGCTGGAGTGGGTCTCAGCAGCTCTCACAAAAGCAGAGGGAGGATATGGCCAATAGTGTCCGAAGTTGCAGAAAAGTCAAGAGAAGGTCCAGCAAGTGTCCATTAGACTGACAATGAAGATCACTAGTTGTTGAATGAGAAGAGTTCCCAGGGAGATGTTCAGGGCAAAAGCCAATGTGCATGGAGTCTGAGGAGTGAGTACAAGGTAAAGAAATGGAGGCAGTGCTCAGAGATGACTGAGAACTCCTCAGTGCACAGCAGCCACTGTCTGTGTGTCCTCAGTCTGAGATTCTTGTTGTGTTGCATTGTAACTAATGATTATTTACCAAGAAATTTTCAGTTGAAAATAATGTCTTTTCTAGGGCTTGTATGTGTTTTAACTGCTACCTTTAATAAAACATTTCTAGGGGTGACTGGGTGGCTCTGTTGGTTGAGTGTTCGACTTTTGATTTCAGCTCAGGTCACGATCCCAGGGTCGTGGGATCAGCCCTGCACAGGGCTCCATGCTTCAGCATGGAGCCTGCTTGAGATTCTCTCCACTCCCCATCCCCCCCGCCCCTCTCCCCTGCTCGCGCGTGTGTGTGCATGCACGCGTTCTCTCTCTCTCTTTCTAGAACAAAAAAGTTCTCATCACTAGAAAAAATACATTCCTAGAAGGGTTTTTTTAGTGTTTGTACTATCAAGATATTTAAAGATAGTAGTTCTTATTGGTCCTGCTTGTTTCAGATTTTTCTTAATGCCTTTATCTGAAAGAGTAGCATTTTATTGAAGTTTTTTCAGAAATAGAGGCAATTTAGAAGTTCAGACTGTAAGATGAGAATAATGGCGACAGGGAAAGGGAAAAAGATTCAGTCATAAGAGCAAATAAATGGTTCTTGGAAGTCATTGAATGGAAATTAGAAAATAAGATACCCAGCATTTTTCACAATGTCTCTGTTTCCCTTTGCTACAGAGATCATGTTTAAGCCACTGACCTTTTCTCTGGGAGATAAGAAATTATGCCCTTATTTTGAGCAGCTTATCTTTAAACCAATTTGCACTACAACCTACAAATCAGTAAGGTTCTGAAGAAAAACAAGAGGGACTGAAAAGTAATTCCCACTCCCTTATAATTTCCATCTCCTCTGTTAGCATCTGACATCCTGGAGCGTACTGTAATGCACACACTAACTCTGGGAGGTCCTAAGTTTGGACTTTGGGAAGCAGGTGGGATTGGGCCTCTTGCCTAATAGCTGCATTGCTCTCCAGTCTAGAGTTCTGATTGGCCTTTAAATGCTTCAAATTCTTGAAATCACAGAAAGGTGTAAGAAAGCAATTGAGTAAGAATTCATTCAAGTTCTGGGGCACGTGGGTGGCTCAGTCCATTGAGCACCCGACTTTGGCTCAGATCATGATCTTGTGGTTGGTGAGTTCAAGCCCCCATTGGGCTCACTACCCTCCTCAGATCCTCTGCCCCTCCCCTGCTCAACTCTCAAAAAATATGTAAAAAACAGTTCTGAAACACAGTTTTCTCCTAACATATAACTTAGAAATTTTCTGACTGGGTCCTGGAGTTTTGAATGACTAGTCTCCTAGACTAGCACGATATTGGAAAGAAAGTGGCTGAGAGGTAGTCTGATTTTATTTTTTAAAAAGGGTTTATTATTTATGATCCCTTCTATCCCTGATATGGTGGGAAAATGCTCTGAGGCACTTTTGCAGGGAATCTTGCACAATACATGTTACCCAAGTTTCTTTGATTATGCTGTGAATGTTGTAACGTTAGTCAAACTGGGTGTTCAGACCTCCATGCTGTTGACTGCCCTTACTATGTCTTGCTCTGTTTCAGGGAATGAGTCCAGGTGTGTAACAGACGTGGTTAATGTAGAGTGGAGATTCTAGTGCTTTTATGGAAGGGCGGCCTCGTGGAAGCATAGCTCCTTCTATCCTAAAAACCATTTGGGAAGATCCCTCGCAGCCTTTGCCGACGTCTCCTTTCTTCTCATAATAAGAGGAAAGGGGACTGGGAATGCCATCTGCTATGCAATCTTGCAAGCACAGAGAGAAAATGAATCATTGGATAACTCATCTGCACTCATTTATCAGTTATTTTTACCCATCAGCTGCTGTAAGGTCATACAGAACCTACTATATTGATAATATCATATAGTGACCAATTTATTTTCTTAAGAAATAGGTTTATTCTGCTCATCAGGTTGTGGATCCTCTGACCTCCCTTCCTTACTGGAAGGCCCGATACTGCCTCATGATTGGCTAAAGTTAGACCAGGGGTTGCCTTGAAGTTACTTCAGGCTCTTACTCTTCTTTCTTGGTTACACCCAGTACTCCCCAACATCCAGTGGAGGTAGATTGGGTACCCTGATTTCTGATGATGCCTCTCCCTTCATAAAGGAGCCAGTTCAATGAGCAACAGGCTGGCCCAGCACCATTGCAGTGGTCAGGGCAGTACTGCCCCGGAGTTGGCCCAAACATTACTCTGGATGTCAGGGAACGTGACCTCAGAATCATCCGAACTGTCAGGCTCAACGATTGTTTCTGTAATATTGCCAGCCTCTGTTTGCCAGGCAGATTTTCTTGGAAAGGGTGACAGTCTTTTGGTAGGATGAAGCAAGGGACATCGAGATCCAGAAGAATATTCTATGGAGGGCTGAGGGCAAGGCCCTCAACTTCTGCAGAGTGTCCTGCAGATTGTATCTTCATATGGTCATCCTGCACATTCCCATACTTCCTATTTGCCCTTTTTAAAAGTAAGGTAAAACATTAAATTCTTTAAAGTAAATAGGAAACATGCCTACATTGTGACATTTTTGTTTTAGATAAGAGTTGGAGTAAATATACAAGGTACCCTTAAGGCTCTTTTTTTTTTTTTTTTTTTTTTTGACAAAAGCAAAAAAACCCCCACAAAACCAAACCTTATATAACATTTCTATTTGCACAGAATTTGCAAAGTACCAAGCAAGAGTGGTTGCGTTTAGGTAGCTGTAGAAACCCAAACCAAGTTGATTTTGTGATTCTCCAGGGCTGAGGTTTCCTGTGGGGGTCTACTCGGTGCCAGGACCTAAAAAATAAGATGAAAGATGGGTCCTTACCCTGGTGAGAGCAAGGAGCTTGTAAATGCGAGTTTCAATATAATATGGTGAATTCGTGGTAAAGAAAGACGGACAGTGTGTTCCAAGAGCACAAATGAAGGTGCTTAGCCTACTTAGTCCAGGGAATTCAGGAAAGGTTTCTCAGAGGTAAATCTTTAAGAATGTGGATAAAGGGCATTTGGGCTGAGAGCCTTGAACCTTTACTGAGGACTTGGCCTGGGGCCCATATGTACCCTTCGACCTGCTAGGGAACCTTCCACGGATTTAGGGAAGTGACTGGTGACTGCTTCCCCCTCCCCCTTAGTTAATGGACTAGAGTTCTGGGGTATTGCTGTCTTTGAGTCCTTGTCACCCGCACTCCCCACCTCTGCCTGATCTCCAGTAAACTGAAGATGCAGGGGAGTTTAGAAAGACCACATCCACCCACAGTAGGATGGAAGATCCATTACTGGAATTGGTCTCGTGTAAGCTTTCCGAAAAACAATCTTCATAAAAATGTATTGGACTTCAAAGACCGTTCCCCACTCTCTCTCTTTCAGTGCCCGAAGTGACGAAACCAAGTTTAAGCCAACCAACGGCCGCCAGCCCAATTGGCAGCTCTCCATCGCCACCAGTCAATGGTGGCAACAATGCCAAAAGGGTGGCAGTGCCGAACGGACAACCGCCAAGCGCCGCCCGCTACATGCCTCGGGAGGTGCCGCCGCGATTCCGTTGCCAGCAGGACCACAAAGTGTTACTAAAACGTGGGCAGCCCCCTCCACCATCCTGCATGCTCCTCGGGGGCGGGGCAGGGCCTCCTCCCCCCACGGCACCCGGAGCAAACTCCAACAACGCACAAGTGACAGGAACGCTGCTGCAGAGTGACGGTGGGACTGCACCAGGTGAGGAGTCGGGGTCGGGAAGTGATTTCCTGGCAGCTTTAAAGAGAGCGAGCACTTCTTTTGTACTGCCTGGTATAGAGTCCCCAAAAGGCTTTTGGGGTCACTCCCAAGACAGGAGAGGCTCCCTGCACGAGTTGTGTCCCAGCACTTCTCTTCAGAAATTGGGTTTTAGTGTCCAGTGTGTGCTGTTGGCAGGAGAGGCTAATGTGGCTGCCATACGTCATCCCCATTTGGGGCCTTTTTTCCTTTCCTGACAAGCACATGATAAACTCGAGCCTCCGTGGTTCCAGCTGTCACCACAAGTGTGTGCCCAGGGTATGATTGGAGGTGGGGCTAGTGCAGAGGCTTGTTCTGAATCCTGGCTGCCCCTGTTTATGTTCGCAGAACGCTGCGGGGCAGAGAGAGAACTGTCTCTTCGATTACAGTATAAGATCTTGGGGGTGGGGAGGGGATACCAAACAATATCATTCTATCATTTTTTGTTAGATTTTTTTAAAATCATTGTTTCTTTAGAGGATTTTGAGCTCTGTTAAAAACTATATGTAGATATAAGGGATCTTTAGCTGAAGGGCTCTACTAGAAGTTTTGAGAGTTTTTAATAGATGAATACTAAATCACCTGATAGCAGAGAACCTCCAAACATCACCTCCCGCTTTTTTTTAAGCTTATTAACAGATGTCTACTTAGCTCTTAAAAATTTTTTTTGAGGTTGTGCTAGAAAGGCTTGAACATCATCAAGCCTTGGCAAGAACAGTAAATTGGTTATTGTTAACTGTAGCATGCTTCTAGTTAATAGTTCTGAGTTTGAACACAGAAATGCCTAGAAAATTCTATTACTGTCTCATGTGCAGAGTAAAAATGGAGACAAACCTCATGGTGACAGATACTTCATACAGGCTTTTCTGTGGTGGCCCCTCAGGCCAGGCCCAAAGCAGGCAAGGAAAAGCTTCATGGCCCCTCATAAGCATTTGCAAAAGGAAGTATGTGAGGAGTGGTCATGTCGAGTGTTTCTGCAGCCAAATGTAGCCAGACCTGGACGCAGACATGGGTCTGGGGCCAGTGTGAGTCAGATTCTCTTGTTTGCATTCTTAAAACCAAGGAGGCCACTAAATCTGAAGAGTTTGAGATTCTCTGCTTCCCTACTTTTATATGGCTCTATGTAAGATTTTTTCAACTTTATATTGATTTAAGACTTCTTGGTTAAAGTAACTAAAACAAGTTCAAAAGAAATTACTGGGTTAAAAACGTCATTTCTCCCGTCTCCCCCCAAATATGATAAATTCCTCCAAAATATGTGCTGAGCCAGACTAATTTATCAGATTAAGTTCCTTAGGCATACAAACTGATTCCTGATTGCCTGCCCCAGCATCTAGCTGCGTGGGCGTTCATCATTCATCAGGTGCTTACTGAGCAGTGATGCCCTGGCCACTATATGGAATTCAAACGTGAGCAAGATAGGGTCTCTGCCTAAGAGGGGGAGCTCTTGCGGAAGTCTCTGTGCTAATGTGGGGAAGGAAGATGTGACCACAGCTCCACAGCACTGAGCAAAGTGGCTCTAGACAGGGAAGGGCATTTTCAGATGATGAACTTAAAAACAAACAAAAAAAAACTCCTAGAAGAAACGGCACTTGAACTAGGCCCAGAAAGATGGGTAAATTTCAGTATGTGCATTCAGGAGGAAAAACCAGTAGGTGCCAATGTGGAATGGTGCCAGGATGAGAAGGCACAAGTTGTGGAATGTCAAGTAGTGTGGAATGTCGACATCTACATAGAAACCAGTGGAAGATAAGATTAGAAAAGTCATTTGGGCCCAGGTTGTGTAGCATCTTGATCAAACTCCAGGCCAAAGAGTTTAGCTTTATTATTGTGCGCTAGGAAACTGTTGGAAGCTTCCCCTACAGCAGTGATCTAATCGAAGCTGTGCTTTAGAACAATTACTCTAGCCAGGGGTGTTTAGAGTAGATTCGAGATACAAAGCAAGGTCAGGGTGTTACTGCATTGTCTCAAGATATGAGAAGGCCCTTCTCTGTCAATAGAAAAGACAAGGGGAGGGGCACCTGGGTAGCTCAGTCGGTTAAGCACCCAACTTCAGCTCAGGTCATGATCTCACAGTTCGTGAGTTTGAGCCCCACATCAGGCTCTGTGCTGACAGCTCGGAGCCTGGAGCCTGCTTCAGATTCTGTGTCTCCCTCTCTCTCTCTCTGCCCCTCCCTGACTTGTGCTCTGTCTCACTCTCTCTCAAAAATAAACATTCAAAAAAAAAAAAAAAAAAGACAAGGGAATAGCTTTGAGAGATGTTGTGGAGTTACACCTAGCAAATACACCAACCAGGCAAAATGAAAGAGGAGATGACTAAGGTGTGACACAGTTTACTAAGACAGGCAACTGGCTAGAGAAGCTAGTTTGTGGGGAAACGTGATGAGCTCCCTTAGGGGCACTTTGAGCTTGAGGTGTTAATAGAGCGCGCGTGTGTAGCTGTGATTGATGAGACCATCTCTTCCCCAGAGTCAACCCTTGGAGGTGCTGCTGCTTCAAATTATGCAAATTCCACTTGGGGCCCGGGAGCCTCCTCCAACAACGGCGCCTCCCCCAACCCAATTCACATCTGGGACAAGGTGATTGTAGACGGGTCTGACATGGAAGAGTGGCCTTGTATCGCCAGCAAAGACACTGAGTCTTCTTCCGAAAACACCACCGATAACAACAGTGCCTCGAACCCTGGCTCTGAGAAGAGCACTCTGCCAGGAAGCACCACTAGTAACAAAGGAAAAGGGAGCCAGTGCCAGTCTGCAAGTTCTGGGAACGAATGTAATCTTGGGGTCTGGAAATCTGACCCTAAGACTAAATCTGTTCAATCTTCCAACTCTACTACAGAGAGCAACAATGGACTAGGAAATTGGAGGAATGTGAGTGGTCAGGATAGAATTGGACCTGGCTCTGGCTTCAGCAACTTTAACCCAAATAGCAACCCATCTGCCTGGCCAGCGCTGGTCCAAGAAGGAAATCCTAGGAAAGGGGCATTGGAAACGGATACTAGTAATTCCAGTGCACAGGTTAGCACAGTAGGTCAGGCATCCAGGGAACAGCAGTCAAAGATGGAAAATGCGGGTGTTAATTTTGTTGTCTCTGGCAGAGAACAGGCTCAAATTCATAACACTGATGGACCAAAAAATGGAAACACTAACTCCTTGAACTTAAGTTCACCAAACCCCATGGAGAATAAGGGAATGCCCTTTGGAATGGGCTTGGCGAACGCCTCCAGGAGCACTGATGCCCCTTCACAAAGCACTGGAGATCGAAAGACTGGGAGTGTTGGATCTTGGGGTGCAGCTAGGGGGCCTTCTGGAACTGACACAGCCTCTGGACAAAGCAATTCTGGAAACAATGGGAACAATGGAAAGGATAGAGAGGACTCCTGGAAAGGAGCCTCTGTTCAGAAATCAACTGGGTCAAAAAATGACTCTTGGGACAACAATAACAGGTCTACGGGTGGGTCCTGGAACTTTGGCCCTCAGGACTCTAATGACAACAAATGGGGTGAAGGGAACAAAATGACATCTGGGGTCTCTCAGGGAGAATGGAAACAGCCGACTGGGTCTGATGAGTTGAAAATTGGAGAATGGAGTGGTCCAAACCAACCAAATTCTAGCACTGGAGCATGGGACAATCAAAAGGGCCACCCCCTCCCTGAAAACCAAGGCAATGCCCAGGCTCCCTGTTGGGGAAGATCTTCCAGCTCCACAGGAAGTGAAGTTGGAGGTCAAAGCACTGGAAGCAACCACAAAGCAGGAAGTAGTGACAGTCATAATTCTGGCCGTCGGTCATACCGGCCCACACATCCTGATTGTCAGGCTGTCTTACAGACTCTTTTGAGCCGAACTGATTTGGACCCCAGGGTGCTCTCAAACACTGGCTGGGGCCAAACTCAAATTAAGCAGGACACGGTGTGGGATATCGAAGAGGTGCCAAGGCCTGAGGGGAAATCTGACAAAGGAACTGAGGGGTGGGAGAGCGCTGCCACACAGACCAAGAACTCAGGGGGCTGGGGAGATGCACCCAGCCAAAGCAATCAAATGAAGTCTGGATGGGGGGAGCTCTCAGCCTCTACAGAGTGGAAAGACCCCAAGAACACAGGAGGCTGGAATGACTACAAGAACAACAACTCTTCCAACTGGGGAGGCGGCCGACCAGATGAAAAGCCATCTTCCTCTTGGAATGAGAACTCCAACAAGGATCAGGGGTGGGGAGGGGGACGCCAGCCCAATCAAGGATGGACTTCTGGGAAGAATGGTTGGGGAGAGGAAGTCGACCAGGCGAAAAACAGCAGTTGGGAAAGTCCTGCAAGTAAACCTGTGTCTGGGTGGGGCGAAGGAGGGCAGAACGAAATCGGAACTTGGGGGAACAGTGGGAATACAAGCCTAGCTTCCAAAGGCGGGTGGGAAGATTGCAAAAGGTCTCCAGCATGGACCGAGACAGGCAGACAGCCCAATTCCTGGAATAAACAGCACCAACAGCAGCAGCAGCCACAGCAGCCACCGCCACCACAACCAGAGCCTTCTGGTTCATGGGGAGGCCCACCCCCAGCACCTCCAGGCAACGGACGACCTTCCAATTCCAACTGGAGCAGCGGGCCACAGCCAGTAACCCCTAAGGATGAGGAACCCAGTGGTTGGGAAGAGCCATCCCCACAGTCAATTAGTCGGAAAATGGACATCGATGATGGCACTTCCGCATGGGGAGACCCTAACAGTTATAACTACAAGAATGTGAATCTGTGGGATAAGAATTCCCAAGGGGGCCCAGCACCTCGAGAACCAAACCTGCCCACCCCGATGACCAGTAAATCAGCATCAGGTAGGCAGTGGCCTTTTTTCTTGTGAAAAATCCTAAAGCAGGGCATTATTATTAAGCTTCATTTACTCAGTCTTGTTCTGGAAATCTTTCCTACGTTAACCCTACTCTGCTGTTTACAGAATCTCCTTTTTTATGAGATGAGAGCAATAACAGATGCTGGTGGTACATTTTAATGTTCTTTCTTGGCAGAAGCGAAAAGACGCCATCCCTGTGTTAGTCTCCCAAAGTTTGGGGTTTTTTTTTGCTTTGTGTGGGTTTTGTTTTTTTTTTTAATTGTATTGGTCTGCAGAATCCAAAAGATACAGCTCACTAAACAAACTACACTCCAGGTTTTAAAGTGAAGAATTAAAATAGTAGCAGAAATAGACCTGGTTTCCATTCGAGTTCTACCCGTGGACACATCCTCGGTGTTTCTCCTTCCCCAGCAGAGGGGAAGTATTTTGTTGCTCTTGCTGGGGCCATCAGAATGCTCTAGCCCAGCTGGGGTCTGGAAGGCTTCAGTCACTCTCCACATGATTTTTAATGATCACCTCTGGAAGTGGAGTGCTTTGTAAAAGAAATTGTTCTCTCCTGATAATCACTTGCTCAAAATTAAACTTTTCTTCTTCCTTTGTTTGAATAGAAACATCATACCTGATAAATTAAAAGTAATGCTGGTAATATCATCTTTGGCACTATCAACTTGAATGTCCCCATAAAGCATAGAATTCAAGAAATTAAGGGAATGCACTGTTCAGATGGGGTATTTTTTGTTTTTGTTTTTTAGTTAAAATTAATCATAGTTAGTTACCCACTCCCTGAGTAAGCCTTGGGGAGTGTTCAGTGAATGCAGTTACGGCCACTTACAAAATGATTGCTTTTAACTAGTTCTTTTTTTCCCCCCAAATATTGAAAAGTATGAGGGAGGAAATAAAGATTGTTCATTAAGTCCCTATCTAGCATAAAATCTGCTAACACGTAAAAAAAAATTATCCATATAGTAAAAACCTCCAAACTGTACAGAAAAGCAAAATGTAATATATAAATGAATCTTAGCCCCTAGAATCTCTTCCCACAGGTAATCTTTTAGAGTTTTGTGTCTCATTCAAAAATTTTGTTCCTTACCTATACCAAAATCTGTCTCCCCTTTACAGATTTGACACAGAAGGAATTGCTGTTCTCCGCCTTGCCTTTTTCACCCTACTTTAAAACTTTCCATGTTAGCATGTACGTTTCTGTCTTTTGTTTTGTGTACAGTACTGATTTCATGGATGATGCGATTGGTCGGACTAGCCCTTTTTTGATAGGTATTTAGGTTGCTTCCGAAGCGTTCTCAACAGCGATAGAGCGTTGTTGTACGTGTCATTTCATGTACTTTCCAAGTATATCTATGGTATAATTTCCTGGCAACGGAATTACTGGGCCCGAAGTTAAAGCAACAATACCAGTTGCCCCCTACGAGGCAACTGTATTTCTGTATTTGTATTTCTGCCAGCAGAACATAGGAGTGACTGTTCCTCTCACCTTCTCTCCACCCGCTACCCCTGGATGTTGAGATGTTTCATTTCACAAATCATTCTTAGAGACACATTTTCTTTCTTTACAGTCTGGAGCAAAAGCACACCACCTGCTCCAGATAATGGTACTTCAGCTTGGGGTGAGCCAAATGAAAGCAGTCCTGGGTGGGGCGAAATGGACGACACTGGAGCATCGACCACGGGCTGGGGGAACGCACCCTCCAACGCTCCAAATGCCATGAAACCTAGTAAGTTTAGAGCATTGTCTGTGAGGGATTTTCCATTAATTTGGGAGTCAGACATTTTGGTGAGGGCTGCTGTAATGTTTAAACTGTCATTTCAGTGAGATTCAGGACCGTGAACCTTTAATAGATGATTAGTAACAAGTGGCCGTGACTTAGCTTTGGGTATTAACATGTTTACATTGAACTAGAAGTCATAAGTTAATTTTGTTGATTTTATTTTAAGTTAGGTTTAGTATCTGGCCAGAATCGAAATGTTGATGTGGTACTTTTTTTTTTTTTTTTTTTTTTTTTTTTTTTTTTTGCCAGTAACTTAAATACTGCTCACCATATCTATTTTGCATTTTTGCCCCTTTGTTAGTATAATTTAAAAAGATTTTCCTGGCTTTTTAATGTGGAACATAGCCTCTGCTGCCCAGTGACTTCACCCTTCTGTTTTCCTTGTCCCTTTGTGTCTCCTCTCATACTCCCACCCACATAGGAACGTTGAAGGTTTCTTGAACCCAACAAAGATTGCTTCATTTGGATTTTTTATACAAAGCATGTCACACTTATTCATAATCGTTGAAAGTCTAAGCTTTACTTGATCCAGCTGGCAACGTGTTGTCACAGCAGTTTGCAAAACTTTGTAAACCGATGCTATGGAATGTCTCGTAGGAAGTTCCTCTGTTGAAAAATTCAGTTTCAAGTGCCCATTTTCACTTGTTTGTAGTTTTCTTAAAAAGTATTCCAACATCTCTTTTCTGCCATATTGCAGACTTAAAGAATTATCTTCTTTTATTTTTAAAGTGTGGTCATATCGAATTCTCAAAATTTGAATGAGAATAATTCTGTTATCAGTTTTATTGTGTGATATTTCTGGCTCTTCCAGTGCCCATGAAGAAGTACAATCATTGCTGTATTCTAGAAATTAATTCTTGTGTCGTTAATTTGACTGCAGTTTAAAAATTATCAATCTCCTTCACTGCATAGAAATAGCTTTATAAAGACCTTGATTTCATCATGATTTTCACAGTAAAACTGGTTGTATCATCACGGGAAATACCATGCCTAGACTTGAAATAGACCCGAAATGCTGGTGGAAGATATTAACCAGACCCTTGGCACAAGGAGGTACTTCAGCAGTACTGTCAGGATTTTTAGGTGTCTTTCCCAACCTCAGAATCACCCTTCCTCCATCACAAAACTTGCACTTTTCTCCAGATTTTTAAGAAAGTCTTCTATTCTTCAGGATCCTCTGTAGTTAAAGCTATAGTTATACTTATCTTTTGTCTGAGTAATGTGAATGTGGAAGGGGGTAGAATATTTGCCTGGCCGTATAGATGGATTAGATAAGATGACAAATATCCCAGAATGCCGTGTTCATAAGGACCAATCGTTGTGGTTATTGTTATATGTAGCTGTCGCATACAGTCCCTCCATTTTTTTTCTTAAAGATTCCAAATCTATGCAAGATGGCTGGGGGGAGAGTGACGGTCCAGTGACGGGAACTCGCCATCCCAGCTGGGAAGAGGAGGACGATGGAGGAGTCTGGAACACCGCCGGCTCTCAGGGAAGTGCTTCCTCCCACAACTCAGCAAGCTGGGGACAAGGAGGAAAGAAGCAGATGAAGGTAGCCCACTTTAGAAAAGTTCGAGCTTGTTTCTTCATTCTTAGAAGGCAGAACTGAGGGGCGCCTGGGTGGCGCAGTCGGTTAAGCGTCCGACTTCAGCCAGGTCACAATCTCGCGGTCCGTGAGTTCGAGCCCCGTGTCAGGCTCTGGGCTGATGGCTCAGAGCCTGGAGCCTGTTTCCGATTCTGTGTCTCCCTCTCTCTCTGCCCCTCCCCCCTTCATGCTCTGTCTCTCTCTGTCCCAAAAAATAAATAAAAACGTTGAAAAAAAAAAAAAATTAGAAGGCAGAACTGAGAATTTTCTAATGGAAGGAGCCCTGAGGTCCTAAGTAAGGGGAAAAATATTTTCTTAAGAGCAAATTGAGTACTTCCTCTTTACTCCTCATCTTCCTTCCCCATGACCTTGAAACCTCGAACCTCAGAGCTGTTGCTGTGGGTAAAGTGGAATTTTCAGAGACAGATTTTTTTTTTCACTTTTAGTTTCCATATTATAATTCTTCAGAAGCTTTCAAGGCACACTTTGTAAATGTTTTATGCTTTTGCGTTCTAAAACCAAGGAAGGCCTTAGGGTAAGTCCCCACGATACATAGAAGAGAAACCAAAGTAAGATAGCTTTTCCAGTGGCAATCAACGTGATTGGTTTTTCTCTGATGCGGGAAATTCCAAAACCCAGAACCATCCTCCCAGCAAAGCAAAGTGCCGGAGCACAAGCCTGATGCAGCAACCAGGTGATGTGCCTACATCCCGTACCAGCTTGCGTTTGAAAGCTGTTGGCTTTCCATATCTTGGAGCAGCTCCACGTCCCCCTTGATGTGCCTAATTCGATGAGGACTTTGGTTTCAATGTAGAACAGGTCTTTGAACCTGAACCACTCTCTCAGCAGAGGTGTTCTTTTCCCTTCCACAGATAAATTGATGGAAATTAGAAGTGGGCAGCCATATAATTTCAACTTCACAGTGAATATTGTCCTGGTTTCAAATACGAAGGGCCGTCCTAGAAGGTCTTCAGTTGGCTAAGGGGGCTGCGCCTTCATCACTTTTTGCTGTAGGAGATTAATTTTGTTCTGAACATAGTAAGTCGATAGCCTAAGAACACAGGTAGTTCCTGTTGGAGACATCCTGTTTAAGCGCGCGTTACAATTTCCCTTCTGAGGACTTCTTTCTGTTCGCCCTAGTCACAAAAGGAATTATTCAGTAAACTCCTCAGCATTTTTGTACTCTCAGGCTATCTGGCTTGTTGTGGTCTTGTTTTTGTCATTTACAAACTCCCATTGAGACGGAATGAAAAGGCAGTCAAGGGAGACTGCTTACTGACCAGAAGTGACCAGGGGGAAGGTGCTCACCCACTCAGGCTGCCCCATGACTGACAATTCTGATCTTTTGTATCTGAGGGCCTTTTTTTTTTTTTTAACTGATTGTGATGCAGATATAGACAACGTAAAATGTACCGTTTTAACCACCTTTAAGTGCGCACAGTTCAGTAGCATTGAGTACATTCAGCACCATTCAACACTAGACAGTGTGACCATCAACACCATCTAGACACAAAACTCTTTTCATCTTGCAAAACTGAAACTCCGTTTACATTAAGCAAATCTACCAATTCTCCCCTCCCTCCACTGAGGGCTTTTTTGACCTTAAAACCTGTAACTGAACTTAAATTAACTTACTCGCTTCCAAGAATTAATAACATCGACATAACAAATATCATCAAAACATAGTTTTTATTTGAAGAATGCACAAATGCACAAAGCCCCATCACCACCTCTCCCCACCAAGTCCTCATCATAGTCCAACCTGCCTTCTCTGCAGAAGTAAAAGTGGAGCTGATAGGGGTCCTCTTCAGGGAGATGCTAGGTTGTCCCTTCTTAAGAAATAAAAACTCACATCCGCCTTGCTTTACAGTAAGATCAGGGATGGTGTCTTTTGCTAGGCGTCTTTCCCACTGGGGACCCATGTCCTTTATACTACGTAACAAGCAGATGAAGCGCTGCATAGATGAGTCCTCATTGTATCCACACAGAGACTAATGACCAGTTCAAATAGCCTATTTAAATAGGCTAGTGCCTATTTATTTTCCAAATAGTAGGCACTAGCATCAAACTCTTTCTTTTCTTTTAATACAAACTGGCTTAGGTTACAAGAAGATACTAAAAGGGAAAGTACTAGCATGCGAACATTGTATTTTAGAAAATCTGATATTGACCTCCTTCTATTTATAAGGTAAAAACACCAGCTGACTGTATGTTTTTCCAGTTACTTCTAATTCAGTGTGACGAATAAAATAAGAATGAAAACATAGATAGAACTAGAGAACTTACTCTTCCAGACTAACTGAAAATATCAAAATAACCACGGTTAAAGAGGGAGATTTGGGTTCAAAAAGGTAAACTGTTGGTTCTGCATTTTCAATCAGTACTTAAATGCAACTCAGCTGTGAAGTGAGATAAACTAAATTATTTGGTTCTGAGGTTACACATTTCATTTCTATAGTGTTCACTGAAAGGAGGAAACAATGATTCATGGATGAATCCTCTTGCCAAACAGTTTTCAAATATGGGATTGCTGGTAAGTTTCATTTTCTCCTGTGTATAATATACCGCATCTTTTACTTTTAGCACAAATGTTAAGACCACTGTCACATATAGTTCAAAATTCTAGATTTAGGGGTGCCTGGGTGGCTTAGTTAGGCAACTGACTCTTGACTTTGGCTCAGGTCATGATCTCACAGTTCATGGTTTCAAGCCCTGCATTGGGCTCTGCATTGACAGTGCAAAGCCTGCTTGGCATCCTCTCTCTTCCTCTCTCTCTCTGCCCCTTCCCCCCTCAAAATAAATAAATAAACTTTAAATCTGTCTTAATTTAAAAAACAAAACAAAGTTACAGATTTGGAAACTGGTTAAACAATATTTCTCATTTGGATTGAGTGATGTTTATTTTCTCTTATTTTTAATGAAATAACTCCAATACTTAGAGGTTATGACTTTTGAATTTGTAGTCCTTGTACCCTTTTCCTGAGGTAGTTAGGGGAAGAAAGAGCCAGGCCCTTGAAACTTAACATAATTTTCCCTGACTACTGCTGTACCAGTTTTCATATTATACTTTTGAAAATGACAACAACTGCACAATAACTAGAGAAATTATTTATAATTAATTATATAGGGAATTCTTGTAGGATTTCTCTCTCTTTTTTTTTTTAATCTCTTGGGAACATTGTGGGGACACCCCGTCCCTGGTTGCCAAAAGACAAACGGCTTGACTTGGCTGCACATTTCCAGATTTCATGACTTGACAAGTCACGAGAAGAAGTTGTCGTCATTTGGCTGACACTCCTGGAATTTGATCCCGAGCCGACTGGAACTTGAGGACAGGGTTTTATTTCTCTGAGCAGCTATTTAGCTGTTGCTCTGTCCATAGAATTGCTGAAACTGACTGATTCTATGTGAAAATCGAATTTACAAATGTAGACCCAGCGGCAATCAAATTAGTCATATTATAAATGATATTGTCTTCATTCCCGTGTAAGGTTCACATCAAAGGACCTTGTGTGGTCCCACTTGTAAGCTGTCACTCCCACATAAATAATGCCTTTTTTTTTTCTCTCTGATTCAAACATTGAATTCAAACCTTTAATCCTCCCTCACCGTTGCTTATTTTTCAGAGTCAAACTGAAGATAATCCAAGCAGCAAAATGGATTTGTCTGTAGGTGTGTATCACTCCACTAATGTGAATGGGATATATTGTTGTTAATGATGTCATGTTGGTTCCCTCCTCCATTTGACTGGGCTGGGTGCTAGTCAGCAGACACGAAGGATCGTCCTACACACTAGGTAGGGACTGAAGACTGAAATGGCTGCAGGATCCAAGAAAGTAACGTAGAGGAGTGGGGTATGCCAGGTATAAGAAATTGGGACTTGGAGGCCACCTTTAAGGCGGCCACTTGACCGCCCTTGGCAGTTGTTGCCTTGGAGGGTAAAGGCCCAGCTTTGTCAGCAATTCAGACATATGTTGACATCCTGATTTTTAAATACTGGAAACTAATTCAGATTTTAAAAACTGTGGTGTGTGGCCGAACAAAATATGTCTGTGGCCCCGCCAGACTCCACTTTCAGATTTCTCGTCGCGTGTGCACCGAGATGTTTCATTACTGACGAGCTGTCCCAGTGCAAGTGGAGCAGATGCCGTGTCAGCCCTTAGTCTGTGGGCTCCTCACCGTGATGCTGTTGCTCACTTTGAGGACCTTAAAGAGAGTCAAACCGAGAAGAAAGTAAAACAGTCCTGGGTCATAAGGGAAATAGCCTTTGATTGATGATATTTTATTTATTTTTTTTTTAATTTTTTTTTTAATGTTTTTATTCATTTTTGAGACAGAGAGACAGAGCATGAGCAGGGGAGGGGCAGAGAGAGAGGGAGACACAGAATCTGAAGCAGGCTCCAGGCTCTGAGCTGTCAGCACAGAGCCCGACACGGGGCTCGAACTCACGGAGTGTGAGATCATGACCTGAGCTGAAGTCGGACGCTTAACCGACTGAGCCACCCAGGCGCCCCGATTGATGATATTTTAAAATCTAAGAATGACAGGGTGCCTGGGTGACTCAGTTAAGCGTCCAACTCTTGATTTCAGCTCAGGTCATGATCTCATGGTTCATGAGTTCGAGCCCCGAGTCGGACTCCGTGCTATCAGCGCAGAAGCTGCTTAGCTTCTCTCTCTCTCTTTCTTTCTCTGCCCCTCCCCCACTCGCTCGCAAGTCTCTCTCTCTCTCTCTCTCTCTCAAAATAAACAAGTAAACTTTAAAAAAGAAAAAGTCGAAGAATAACAAAAACGTAAGCTTCCAAGGGTACTGATCATGCCCATGTACAATAGCACTTTTCCAGAGCTTTGAAGAAAAGAGGACCATCATGGTACCTAGGAAATCACATTGTTCACTTGATGTGTTCACGTCTGAGTTCTAAATTCTAGGGTCACAGCTGTGCCTAATAGGCCTCTTTATCCCCAGTAACTGTTTCACAACCAACCCTACCCATTTATCTGGCAGATGCTAAGTAGCAGCAAGAGACAAATTCTCTCACTGAGGACGTTTGAATTTATGAGCCAGTTATACTCCTCAAACACATCAGTAACCAGTTAGGCTATTTTTTTAGTTGGATTTTTACCAGTTTGGCCCTAAGTCTCTCTTTCAGTCTTCCATTGAAAACAAGCTACAACAGATACAGATCTTTTAAAAAGAAACAAAAGGATCCACATGTGCTCCAGGGAGGGTCCCCAGCAGCCTCAACCAACAAGATCTCTCGTGGTCTTACACTTGACACCCCCCGGGAGGCAAGCGGGACTGGTCACTCCTGGTCAAAACATTGGTTCTTGAAATTTTCACTTCTTCTGTGCTACTTTTCAGGGAGCCTTCCAGATAAAAAATTTGACGTGGACAAGAGAGCGATGAATCTCGGGGATTTTAATGATATCATGAGGAAGGATCGATCTGGGTTCCGTCCACCTAATTCCAAAGACATGGGAACCACAGATAGTGGGCCTTATTTTGAGAAGGTGAGTTGAATCCTTTGAGATAATAATTCATGTGAACCACTTTGGTTTCCATTTGTTCTTTTGATAATTAATTCCAGGAGGAAATGTAGAATTACTGAATTAATTAATGAGCAAAACGCAGACATCACCTGCTTTTAAGTGGTGACGTGAAAACAATTGATGTCAACAGGTGATTGGGCAGTAGCTAGAACCATCTGTCCTTAGCATGTGAGTATGGTGAGGGTGGTCTGAATTTTTGGAAATTTTATGAAACTTGGAGGGGGTATATGGTCTGACTTTTTACAGTAGAAGAAATGCACACTCAAAATGTGTAGAAGAAATTTTAGAGATAAATTTATTCTGAATTCTTTTTTCTGCTGCTTTGCAATGAGAAATTAAATTTGGGATCTTGTGTAAACAATCTGTAACTCCCAAGGCCTTGCCTTCTAGCTTTGTCAAGATGGCCCAGAACTTGGTCTTTTGATGTTTCGAAGAGACTTCCTTTGTTTTCTCTCTCCATTTCCCCAGTGACCTATTTTTAGTTACAGTGGTACACTGTCCAAATTCTCAAGTACCTGATTTCAGTGTGTCATTTATACCTATTTGTTTTGATTTTTATCAGTTCTAATCGAGGAGATCATTCATTGATTCAGAATACAGATTTTCCATGGCCCCGGTCTTCAGAAAGCAGTTAAAACTGAAAGTTTTAGATCTAGCACATTTTTGACACCACTGATGCTGGTCCAGGCAGCAACAGATTCACAAGATTACTCTGGCTTCTGTTTCAGCAGCCACATCGTTAGAGTAATCGATATTAGATGTATAAAAATAAAGTGTCTGGCAATGTTTATCTTCACGCAATGGGCAGAATGTGTTACTGACTTAGAGAATAAGAAAAAAATCTGGATCAGAGATGACAGATGGTGTCTGTTGGGCCAAGTGTGATGACTCTTACCAGATCCAAATTCCGTCCTCGTTTATTGCTAATACACTCTAATTCTGTTTGTTCCTAGTGTTTCTCTCTTGTCCCTTCTTGCATTCTGTTGCTTCACTAACCAACACTCCTTGTGATTGGCTAACTCCTACTGCTTTTCAGCTGACTTTGCCTTTCTCCAATCAAGATGGGTGCCTTGGGGATGAGGCTCCCTGCTCTCCCTTCTCCCCTTCTCCCAGCTACAAGCTGTCTCCCTCTGGTTCCACACTACCCAACGTCAGCCTTGGAGCAATCGGCACAGGGCTCAACCCCCAAAACTTCGCTGCTAGACAAGTAAGGAGGCCTCTCAAATTTATAACTGCTCGGCTGTGGCCTCGCCTTGGCCCTGGTCTGCAGTTTATTGCATTTTTTGTCTGTCTTGGGAAATTTGTTGATTACTGAATGCACAGAATGATGCTAAGTATTAGGCTTTAGATCTTTCAGCCCATAGAACCCATCTCTCTTCATGTTTTCTCAACATGGATTTTATTTTCAATCTGTTTCTTTAGTCCTCTCATATTTGGTCATAAGTTCACATTTAATAAGTTAACTAATAACTGGCTTAGGAAAATGTTAAAGAGGCTACATAGGTATCTTATTACGCCTACCTTAGCAACTTATTTGCCATTTTTAACATTAGATTGAATGGCAAGTGATACTTTTGAAGTCTTTTCAATTTGATAAGACTTCTAACTAGAAAACAGTGGCAAAACTAGTAAAGAGTAAATACTTGAGCATTACAGCATCTTAAAATCTAATGTCCTTAAGCGTAAAATATAATAATTAACCAGAGAAAGGTAATTTGATATGAGAGAACGAAGCTTTGGGAAGACTTGATATTGTTCAGATGTGGCAAACAGCCTGGGGCACCCCGTTCCCTAGGGGTGCGTCTCCATGGTCCCAGGAAGGGCTGTGCACTGGGCGAGACCGGCAGGGCTGGCCCCCTAAGGCCCCCTCTCTCACCTTTGCGGGCCTAAGGCAGCCTGAGGAGGGGCTGTCACTGCAGCTCCTGTGTAGTTCTCGTAGAGAAAACCAAGAATTTGGAGACAATTGCTTTGTGACGGTGACTCCAGGGATGATATTTTCCTAGCCACAGTTCTGTGACCACTTACCTGTCACTGTGGCTTTCACCTCAGGATATCATGGAAGGATGTTTAATTATTAATTGTATCCATTCTGTTTCCACATGAGGGCTTTCACATTCAAGTTAAAGGATGATGTAAAACCTCTCTCACACCATAGTCCTCCAGTTACACGCAGGTCTTTCATACGCTTCTAATTGTTGCCTTAGCACATTTTTTAAGTGGATCATGTTATATACATGTATTCAGTTGGTTATCTCTGGTTTGGGAGTTTTAGGTAATTTCTTGTTTTCTTTATTTTTTATATTTCCCTGTATTTCTTAATGTTTCCATAGAGAATGTAGATGTGCATTGCTTTTATAAACAGAGAAGAAATAATTACATCAGTGGTTTTGGGCAGCTTTTTTGTTTAGGATTGAGGTATACAAAATACAAGTTACCCTAACACTCTTGAGTAATGATTATAAACATGCCCACAGGATCACATGTTTGTCAAATGCCATTAGTATATAATTTTTAGCATAACATAAACCAGCCGAAGTATCCGTGCACTGGACACTAAGAAAAGGTCATTCCTCTTTGATTTCTTTTGGTTTGGTTTTTTGTTTTGTTTTTTGAATCTGTGGATTGCTACAAAGTCCATTGTGAATCAACTAAATATGATCATGACTTTTTTCACACGTGACTATTTTCATGCAGACTTCATACACTTCCTATTTAAAAATTAAAATGTGAGGTTTTTATTTTAAAATCACAGATTTCAGTCAGCTTGCTAACACTGTTTTTAATTTATATGCCTTTCTGAGTTAAACACTGTAGTTGAGGCAAATATCACCAATAAATATTGGACTCAGGTCATCATATAACAGTGAAGCTGTAGAAATAACCAGATTAACTGCGGTTAACATATAAATAGCGTTTGATGACCGCTTCCCTAATTTCTAAACATACTTAAAAAAAAAAACAACTGAATCTATATGATTGCCTCTAGACATATTAGTGTGCAAAATAGCTACTTCTAAGCTAAGAAAGCAAATGACAGTGCCAGGTTTCATATTTAAAAAGAGAGAAGGTGTTGTTTGATAGACTGCCATTGACTCATCTGTACTGTTATCCATATTGGACGTATCACAGGGCTTGATACGATTTTAGAGATACTTGATAAAGAAAACCTGAAACCTCTAGTGGGAGTAGGGGGCATCTGTCCACTGGGAATGTGCAGGTAGAGCCTGATTTCACAAGAACTAAAAAAAAAAAAGTGAAATTCCTTTTAATATTTCTTACCAAAAGAGCAGTTGGAATTTAAAATGATCCTCACAAAGCAGTTTTGGACCAGTTAAAACATGGATTCTGGGTAGGACTTCAACTACCAGTAACCCCACCGTGCAAGGACCCGTCCAAGGTCATTACTTTGATAGTGAAGTATGAGAATCATCTTAGCAGAATATTCTCAATGAAACAGATGTTTCTTGTGTTCTTGAGGATGATCAGTAGGTAAGCTACCAGCTACCATGATCTCAGAAAAGTTAGAGCCAAGCCACGTCACCTTAGAGTGACAATTTGGATTAGTAAGTCAGGGGAAGTGGAGACATTATAGTTTGTAGAATTAAAGGTCTTTTCATGTTTTAAGAGTCCTTTGGGAGATTTAAAATTCATGGTAGATCTTTGATTTTCTTTTATGACATAGACACAGATTTTGATTGTCTTTTCCACTTTATGTTCATAGCCATTTTTATTTTCAGTGCTTTTAAGTTCATTAATTTTCCAGTAGCAGTCCCTTAATCTATTTTGAATCATTAAGCCATTGAAATATCATTAGTGTTCTAGAACTTAATGATGCTGTTCCAAAATTCTTCTTTAAAATTTTTTTTTCAACGTTTATTCATTTTTTGGGACAGAGAGAGACAGAGCATGAACGGGGGAGGGGCAGAGAGAGAGGGAGACACAGAATCGGAAACAGGCTCCAGGCTCTGAGCCATCAGCCCAGAGCCCGACGCGGGGCTCGAACTCCCGGACCGCGAGATCGTTACCTGGCTGAAGTCGGACGCTTAACCGACTGCGCCACCCAGGCGCCCCCAAAATTCTTCTTTAAAATTACCTTAATCCCCGTGAAGCCACGGATAAGTTGGTGACTTCCGTTCAGAATACACAGACTAGGTATATAGGCAGTGGTCCAGCTGCCTTCACTAAGGATGTGCAGTAGGATGTTGCCAAGTGTATGAAATTGGTGGGTCATGGTGTTAGCATCCTACAGACTAGGACTTTATTATAGAGTTCTGGGAATACAGAGAAGGAAATATTAAGCTGGTGGTTGAAAGACAGAATGGAAAATAACTATAACATGACTTGCTGATGCCATCAAAGAATGACTTTAAGTGTTTTGAGAACATATAGGTGGGTCAGTTAATTTGAACGTGAACCGAGGAAGAAAGTTGGGGGAAGCCTTCCTTTATGAGGATGAGCTCTGAGCTAGGCCTCAAGGCCAAGTGAAGATGGTGTAGAAACTTTCCTCAGACAGAAGGAACAGTGTCAAGTTATCAAATATGGCTTTTTTGGCTGAAGGGCTTTTCTCAGCTCGAAACAAGTCAGAAGGGCCATCATATAGCCTGGTTTTCTGTAATTCTTTGATTGGAATAGCCTAGAAGTGGTCCAGTGAGTTCGTCCTCCAGAAATCAGGGAATTAAGCTTATTTTTTACCAGGCTGGCATTCATACACTGGAATGAAAAGTTACAGGTGAGTAATGAGGTTTTTTGTAGTGCCCCATAATGGGTTTTCACTTTTTCCTTTTCTGCTTTTGTTTTTTTTAAATCTCACTCTTGATTTAGATTTTGTCATCTAGCAAAGGAGGGATCAAGCAGACCCAAGATAGGAAAGCCTGTTTAGATCTGGAGTAGAGTTCTTAAGGAGCTAGACTACAAGCGGGTGGCACTGATTCTGTGACTGAACTAATCAAGCCAGAGACATTACTATCATAGTGTTGTTTTACAGTTGATATTATACAGAAGCCTGCATTTGTGCTCAGGTGCCTTTCAAGGTGGAGCTCAGATTATTGGATTTGAGAATAAACTTGGTAAACCCAGTCTTTAAAAGAAAAAAAGAGAGTAGTCGAAATAAACATTATATTGCCTATGCCTTTCAATTACAAAAAAAAAAAAAAAATGCTTTTTTGAAACATTTGACCAAACGTAAGCCTTTCGGTTATAGAGTGCCTCAGACTGCAGGGGTGGTGGTGCTATGTGCATGATTTGATTTGGATAATTTTCCCAAGCATTCCGAGACCAGGAATTTTTCGGTTATAAAATTCTGTGATTCCACGGAACACAGGATATGATTCTTCTGAGGGATAGAAAGCCAGAACTGTTTCTTTTTCACGTTTTCTTACGTTAACAAAAAAGCCTTAACTGTTGCTGTTGTGTTTGCAGGGTGGCAATCATGGTTTGTTTGGAAATAGCACAGCACAATCGAGAGGTATGCACACGCCAGTGCAGCCGCTAAATTCTTCTCCTAATCTCCGGGCGCAAGTGCCTCCCCAGTTTATTTCCCCCCAGGTAAGCGATTTTATGTTTCCACGATTCAGCAGTAAAGCCTCTACAGGCGGTGCCCAGTTGCCAACTGGGTTTTGTGGGCAGAAAAAGCAGAAAAGGAATAATAGTTACCCAAATGTCTAAAATGTAAAAAGTCTTGGGGCACCTGGGGGGCTCAGTCAATTAAGCGTCCGCCTTTGGCTCGGGTCATGATCTCATGGCTCATGGGTTCAAGCCTGTGTCAGACTCTGTGCTGACAGCTCGGAGCCTGGAGGCTGCTTCAGATTCTGTGTCTTCCTCTCTCTCTGCCCCTCCCCCACTCGTGCTCGCTCGCTCTCGTGCTCTCTCTCTCTCTCAAAAATAAACAAACATTAAACAAAATTTTTAATGTAAAAAATCCAGATCAAGATTTTTGGAACAAAATGTCCAACTCCTTGTATTGTATTGTACACACAAAGATGGTTTTTATGAAAAGCATTATGATTACATTCCTTTTCGATCTCTCCGTATTTTTTCCAGTACTGCATGCATTGGTTTAATTGCGTGTAATTGAAACTACCGTACAAGTACTGCACTGTACTGATGTGCCAATATTCTGAAATCGGTTGCCCTTGAGGATTCCCCTGCAGGTAAATGGGAGAATAGCCAGGTTCTGACGTATTCTGAGACGTTTTAAGGAGCTGGATGCTGAAGTGCTGGCTAGATGCTCCAGGGGAGTGTTGAGAACAGATGAAGCGGCAGAGACTTCCTCATGGAGCAGCTCTGCGTTGTGGGATACAGTCCTTTGTTTGGGAAACCCTTTAGGTCTGTTTCTTGGTAGGACATGTGCAGTGCATTGTTTGCAGGCTCCAGGTGACAGATTTGTGCCAGTCTGCCACAGAGCCCCTCGTATGTCTGTGAGAAAGTGGGTCCGAAGAGCAACATCAAGGTTGATGAGCCCGTGTGAGGATTCAGCGTGGGACCTTGGTCTCCTCATAATGTTCCTTCGGTGAACTGAGATCAAAAGCGAGGAGTTCATCCCGTCCGACAAAAGGGGGCGGGGCACTTAACTAGGTCCAATCAGCAGAACGTAAAGGGTCAGGTTTTATTGCTGTTTTGTTTTTTTGAAATATCTTTTAAGACAAAGTCTTAAAACATTTTATTTGAGGGGCACCTGGGTGGTTCGGTCCATTAGGTGTCCGACTCTTGATTTCAGCTCAGGTCACAATCCCAGGATCATGAGATTGAATCCTGCATCAGGTTCCTTGCTGAGCTTGGAGCCTGCTTAAGATTCTGTCTCTCTCCCCCTCTCTGTTCCTCCCCTGCTCATGTGTACACCCTCTCTCTTTCTTTCAAAGGTGTGTGTGTGTGTGTGTGTGTGTGTGTGTGTGTGTGTGTGTGTATTTTTTAACCATAACCTATAGATTTCAAATTCTGTTTTTGACATTGAGTCTGTAACTGTCTTAGTAGAGGAAGGAATGTTCCTCGCCCTGCCCTCTCGTCTCCATGTCCTGCCCTGGGTGTCTGGGAGTCCTCTTAAGTGTCTCTCCTTCCTCACCCCTCTAAGTGCCAGTCATTCTCCAGGTCCCAGGTGGCAGTCTGTCCTTTAAGAGCTGTTCCTAACTTCCCCAGCACTCCACAGTGGTTGTGTCTTCTTAACTCCATGAGCTCCCTCCCACATGTCAGGCCACAGTCCTGTGGTTACCAACTATCTGCGGTGTGCCTGGTAGTGTGTTGGCCTCACACGGTGGAGAAACCACCGCCTCCTAACACAGCCTTCTGGAGTTGCTGGGGGTGATAGCAGAACACTCAGCAAACAGGCAGCATGATAAATGTGATGTAGAAATGCTTAACACTGTTTGGAAGCTGGGCGAGGCCGTGCACTAGGAGTGACATTTAAGCTGGGCCTTAAAGAATGAGTCAGTTTGCTGAGCAGAGCCAGGTTTAAATGTGCAGCAGGAGCAGCTTGGAGGACAAGGGGCAGTAATATCTGGAAGAACATGGCATGTTTGGAAAAATGCAGTCGGTTTGAATAATTAGATTAAGCTTGTTGAAGCATATAGATGTTGTCTAGAATGGAATAGGAAAAAACTAGTCAGGGAGTTTGGCACCAGATTTGGAAAAGCTTTCTTTGCCTTGCTAAGGAGTTTGGACTCTGTCCCTTGTAACCGTTATCTGGGCTACTTCTTAAACACAGTTTCCAGGTCTTCTGCAATCTACTGAGACACAATCTTGGGAGTTAGGGCCTAGTAACCCCCTGCTGATTTTTATCTGCACCCTAAGGTTTAGCTGCTGCTGCTATAGATAATGTAGCATTGGGCAAAATTGTTCAGCTGAGTGGCAATGTAGGAAAACTTAGGTTTTGGAAAAAATAACATTGACAGCAATGTGGAGGACATATTTGAATGGCAGACTAACTAGAGCAAAGGAGCTCAGTTACAAGGCTAGTCCAGGAGTCCGGGTAAGGAGGTGGCAGTGGGAATGAAGACATTGTGAAGGTCCCAGATGACCTTTGTGTTGTGGGATACCGCAGTCACTTCTCCAGTCTCTCCTTACTCTGCATATCCACGGCATCTGACATAGTTGATCATGTCGTCCCTTTTGAAACTTTCATTCATCTGGTTTTTGGACACCTTGTATATTGGTTCTCCACCTGCATTTCTTTCTCCGTCTCCTTTACAAGCTCCTCCCCCCCTCCCCAACATTTAAATGTTAGGGGCACCTGGTGGCTCAGTCAGTGAAGCATCTGACTTTGGCTCAAGTCATTATCTCATGGCTCTTGAGTTCAAACCCCAAGTGGGGCTTTGTGCTCACAGCTCAGAGCCTGGAGCCTGCTTCAGATTCTGTGTCTCCCTCTCTGTCTCTGCGCCTCCCCTGCTTGTGCTTGCTCGCTCTCTCTCTCTCTCTCTCTCTCAAAAATAAATAAAAACATTAAAAAAAAAACAGAGTGACCCAGTCACAGTCCTTCTCCTCACCATCAGCAGCTACTGTTGGGTGACTTCACCCAGCAAATGACTTTAGGTATGACAGGGCCAAAACTGAGCCTTCAGCCCAGATCTCCGTTCTCAATTCCATGGGCTTCTGGGCATCTCTGCTAGGATGCCCTATAGGCACTTCATGTCAACATGTCCGAAACAGAGCTCATGATTTCATCCCATACTCCCCTCTAAAACATCCCCTTCCTCTAAGTAAGCAGCTCTTCCCCTCTGCAGGTGCTTGGGCCACAGGCCACAGAGCTAGTGGTGAGGCCTCTCACGATCCACATTCAGTCCATCAACAAGTTCCCCTTTAGAACTTTGTCCTGAATCTGACCCTTCCCTACCGCCTCCTCTAACATGACCCATTGCGAGCAACCACCGTTTCTTTCCTAGAAATGGCCTCCTGACTGGTCCTGCCCTGTCATATACAACACCTGCCTCCAGTCTGTTCTCCACCCAGCGTTCTGACTGACCCTCTAAAACCACACTATCCAGGGTAGGCCTTAGGCCACCTGAGCACTTGAAATGTGACCAGTGGAGTGGAAGAACTGAAATTTTAATTTTAATTGATTTAAATTTAAATAGACATGCCTGGTTGGTGGCTACGGAATGAATACTGCAGAGGTGGAGCTTTTCCAGCATCACAGAAAGCTAAGGGTAAATCATGTCACTACTTTAACCTCTCATAGCTCCTTCTCTCACTGAAAATACAAAGCCAGCTCTTTGCTGTTGTCTTTGACGCTCTTGGTGACCTCCTGCCACCCCCACCCACACCTGCCACTCTCCACTCAACTGGCCCCAGCGCACCAAGGGTGCTTCTAGAACACTCTTCTCCCAGATTGCCACACGGCTCCATCTGTATTTGCTTCAGATCTCTGCCGCCATGGCACCTTCTGGGAGAGGCTTTCCCAGGCCGGGCTGAGGACAGTACGGCACCACTTGGCTGTCACGCCCCCAGGCACGTGTTAAGGTTCACAGTGGCAGGGTCTGTGTCTACTTTGTTCACTGCTGGATCCTGAACATCCACAACTGTGCAGGGCATGCATTTTGAGTAAATATGTGTCAAATCATGGGAAGACGCATTTCAGAATGATTTAGAAAGTAGAATATTGTTAGGAAAAAAACTTATTCTGAGAGACTTAAAGGCTGCCAATCTCTTTATGACCAAAGTATCTGCTGTGCATGGAAAAGAAAAGTATTTGTGTTCTACATTTTTGGGATTTGTTTAGCAAAACATGGTTAACGTTATTTGATGCATAATGGCAGAATATTAAACAATGAAAACTTCAGATTTTTCAGGTTTTTTTCCCTAACATTTCCATATTTTAAAAAACAAAGGAGCTGGATAGCTTTTTTTTTTTTTAAGTAGAGGCAATATAATAACCACACTGAAAGTTTGGATAATGGAGAAAAAATTCTTCCAGAAACCCCCAACCCAGATGCAAAGACAGGGATTATTTTTACAAAATCCCCTACTCAGACTGTTCGTATCCAGGCATACTTTCCACATCATGATATCCATGGTCACTATATCCTACTGTTTGTGTTAACTTTGGGTCATACATAGTATTTTCCTCTGTTACTACGTAGTTTTCCTGTTGATTGTTCTTAATGAAGAAGGCATAATGTTCCATCAGGTAAACTTACTTTGATTTCCTGGGACATTCTCTTCGCCTATTATTGGATAGTAAATTATTTCTAATTTTTCACTGTTCTAAATAATGCAGTAGAGAAACCCATATACTTAGATCTTATATGCGATCCTTATACATAGATATTTTGCCCACATTATTTCCAAATTTAGTTGCCCAGGATGAAATTTATGGGTTAAAGTACATGAACACTTATGGTTTTTGAAAATACCAACTTTTACATCCATTTTAACTGTCTTTAGGGGCAGTCAGTATTCAGTGTGAACATGGGAAGAAGACACTGAAACTCATCTTTAAGATCTGTTACAGATATTCCAGGCGTTGGGTTTCTGCCTTGCCTTTTTCCTCCTGTTACTCAAATATTCAGAACGTAACCTATTCTACCAGGCTTTTGTCTTGCTTTAAACTGCTGTCA